GGCCGTCACCCTTCAAGATAAGTTAACAAAACAGTCGTCGTCTTACAGTCACTACCAATAAAGCACACATACATATACAAACACTCTCTTCACACGCATGAGCGCTAAAGATCGCTAATGAATGGGCCGTGACAGCTTGGCTCCAAGCCCACCAGTCCGCCACTACACATAAACACGCACACAGCTTGGCAGACTGCGTGGACTGAGTTGGGACGTCAGTTGGCTGCCTTCCGTGCCACGGCGCTCGACGCACCGTCCACGTCTCAGACTCCGACCACACATGCAGCAGGGGAGCCGCATGGAGAAGAAGCCGAGAGGCACACAGCCCACTTGCATGCGAGTAAGGAGTTAGGTGCTTATGGTGGGTGATGTCGATGTGCGGTGAGATGCTAGTGAGGGAGGATGTGATGGTGTGGTGCATCAGGCGGTTGTCTACCGCCGGTTTTTGTGGATGCGGATATGGCCTTATAGACCCGGCGGTAAGTTAATGTGCGAGTGCAGTGCGGACAGTGGAGGCGAATGCGGCGAGTGAAGTTTGGGGCTCCAGGCGATGGTTCGACGGTCTCTGTGCGAAAGGTTCTCAAGTGGTCGGCCTGGCCGATTCGTGAGGCGAATGTGCGGGGATAGTGTGGACATGAGCAGTCGGCGGTGTCAGCATCTGCTCCGGTGATGGATATGGTGGTGGTGGGCGCGTTGGGTACCGGGGTGTGGGTTGGGCTATGCACGGTGGGTGTGCAAGATATACTGAGTGTGATGGAGCTGGTGGCTGTGGCGGATTGTGGGTGGGGTTAAACATGGTGGATGTGCAGGAGACGGTAGGTATGTCGGGACTGTGGCCCATTCCGCTGTCGAGGATACTCATGCGGCCGAATTGACCCATGCGGTGCATGAATGTGCGAGGACAGTGCGGACAGGGGAGGCGAATGCAGCGGGCGAAGTTTTGTGCTACAGGCATCGGTTCGTCACTCGTTGCGCGATGGATTGGCATGCGGCCGACCAGGCCGATGTGTGAGGTGAAGGTGATATCGCACTGAGAACAGGTATGGACCAGGTCCTCATCACTGGTGTTGACGGTGGTGGTGTGGTGTTTGTTGTTGTGTCAAGATTGGGTGAAGTGTTGATGGGCTTGGCAGATGTCAGAGCGTCAGACGTTGAGGAGGAGGCGGAGGAGGATGAGGACGGCAATGGCAATTCGTGAGGGCGGTTATCGTTTGTTAACGGCGTGGAAGGTAAGGGGAAGTGGACGGAGAGACGACTGTTAATGCCCTCCGGGTGCTGCAGTTGGTCCGGAGGTGTCCGACATGTCCAGGAATGTCCGTTGACCTCGTGGACGCGTCGGACACACACTCACAGCCGCTCACAGACGGACACCATGGTGTGGCGGACGTGTTTAGCAACAGTACCGGGACGGGCGAAGAAGAAGAATCTACCAAGTCCATCGATGAGTTCGGTGAGGACCGTTAGTGTACTGCTTACATATACTTCTTGTCGTCATACTCATGCTTGCACTGTGAGGTCCATTTGGAGTCGCCTACGCTACATCTTTTGTATGTTTATTTCCGGCAGTGTTTCTACGGCAAGATATGCTTGTCGGTGTAACGTGCGACAATCATCCGAATGCATAGACGGACTTAGAGCACCTCCAAAGAACGCCACGCGGGCGATGAGCTGGGTCAACCCGGGGGACAGATTAGAACATGGTACTTGCTCTCAGGCCTGCACACTCATAACAAATGACACACATGGGGATGTGATGGTACGATTGGCCGTAGGCTGGCACCGTAGCTGCATCTTGCACATAACCCCCGCATCAGATGTTCAACCGGCTCGGACAGTGGTTTGATATCTCGGAGGTGCAAGAGGATAAGATCCGGTCTGAGGATTCGCTATTCATGGCAATTAGGGCACATTCCTCAGTCCGAACTGTTTGAGACACTTTTAAAACCTCACGGCGCGCTAAACGCCGTGGCCTGGACTACTGTCGACTCGCGGGGTAACTCCGCCAATCTCTTTGGATGGAGAATCAAGTTGCAATGCCTACTTCTTAATGCAATCTCTATGGCACTGCCGCCCATTTGGAGTCGGAGCCGCTCCTTTCCTCCTTGAGCGATGGACTGTTCCATCATGCGCAAGCAAGGCGTGTGTGGCACGCGCATGTCGGTGGTTTAGCTTTGTTAACCAGTGTGTCCGATCCCGCCATAATCTTACTGACATGGCACGGGGCCCTGGTACGTAATGGCCGGAAGAATGCGATGGATGCTGCGCGCGCCTACCTTCACTATAAACTATTTAACGCGTAAACCACTGTCCCTGCGATCACCATGCTGGATCCTACGGTGAAGCTGTTTGTCCGCAATGATTTGACTGTTGTACAAAGGTTTCACTATAAACGACACGCGGTACACACCAGAAGCTCCAACGGAACAAAAAATTGCGATGGAGTGATTATACAGGGGTAAGATGTTTATGAAATCGATCCGCTGACACGAGATTGTACGTTTCTGACGGACATGGAATGGAGTTAGTGTGAAACGTTTGAATAAAAAGAGTGGCTCACCGGAATGGGTTTTTTAGGTGTTGACGCTTCGAAGAGCTTGGTCGGTTGCCCATTGTCCATTGGCGTTTTAGAAACTGGAGCTTACCAATAATCATCTCTCAGTGTAATAAACTCCGTATTCGATAAATTTCAGGCCTTTTACTCGAAAGGCAAACTAGTTTGCAGAATTCTAGCATCGGAATGTTTATTTTAACTAAAAAATGCAACGAATATTTAACAGGCAATATTTTATCAGCCAACCTTAGCTTCGTTCCGACAGTCTAGATAGGTGTAAATATCTTTTTTTCGACGAACGATTTCTGCCACCCTTGGAAAACAAACAAACGCACTTAAGGTCATCATCAGAGGCGAACTTCTGCAAATGCATAATTGCTGATATTTTAAAAGAAAAGTTGCGAACTAGGAACCCTTCCTTGAAGCGCCCCAATCGTGGTCGTGTGAAGCATTAAGCAGCAAGTACAAGGAATAAGTTTCTAGTAGACGATGTATAAATATGACATAATGAATTAGACGAGAGTACACTAGGTGACAAAGTCCTCAATTCTATCAAAGGGAGTCTATGAGGATCTGTTGTTAAGGCTTCGAGAAGATCGATATAATTGATTGCTACAGACGGGGGCTCATTTTGAAAAGAAGGTGTTAAGTTAGGAAACGTAAATGGCAGATTTGGTATGATATTCCAAGTAAAATGTCCTGGTGTCGATGATCCAGGTGACTGAATTGATAGTTCGACCATAGATTTCGACGATGTCCACCATGTGCCCCACAGCTGCAGCGGTTGGAGCAGGGACAGTGACTTACGCAGGGGTTTATAGTGCCAGTAGACTTGCGCTGCATCTACCTACACCCTCTCCTCCTCCCTCGCCCGAGCCCAGTGTCAAGACAGAGTCAAGAAGACCGGAGACAAGGGAGGCCGCAGGTGGATGGCTCGGACGGATCCTCACCTTGGCGCTCCACCACACCCCCTGGACCACACAACAAATGACCAGGATTTTCACCAACACAACAGAGCTTGGAGGCTCGCACGGCTGGAGCCCCACCTAGGCGTGCCGCCGACGCCTGGCTCGGTACCCACACTGTGGTGGAAGTGCCATAAAGGCCACATTAAGAAGGAGCCATTGCAACCTGACTCTCAGACCACCACTAGTCCAGGAGGAGGTCCGAGTTATCCCGTCAGATGGCAACCTTCCAAGCCTCGGATTTTAGCGCACCGTGATAACTTCAAGCGCGTGAGATTGTTTATAGTGAGGACGATGATCCAGGTAACAGTTAAGAGAAGTAATGATAACCACCTCTTTGAAAGGTTTTTAGGCGACAATGGATGGGCCACGACCCACTCCGAGCGTTCGTTGGTGTCCTATGTTAGCACAACTGGTAAATATTCTTAAAGACGTTTGCATTACAGAAAGCTTAGGAGTTTTCCTAGTGCAGATCCTGTAGTAGAGCCAGTTGTACGTGTAAAATACTTCGCAGCATTTAGGTCAGTATATTTTAAGGGTAATAGGCAATGCCTTTGAAAACCCTACTGTAAACGGTATTGGTAATATCTAACTTTAAATAAGCACGACAATAAAATGTTGTTAGTAATATATACACTTTACATAATGTTTTTCATAGAAAATGCATGACCGAAACTCAGGAACATTCAGTTGTAGATGTATCGAAGCGTCTGGACAGACTGAAATATTTCTTGTCACCCCAGCTGTTGACCCCACTGCTTGTCTCTTTCAACGCGCCTTATTGACAGGGTGAACAACTGGAATTTCAAAAATGGTAGAGTCTGTCTCCGTCCTCCGTTACAAATGTAGAGAAGAAGTTTACTCGTGCAAGTGTTTCCCCTTCTTCGCCAAAGCAAACAGCTTATCCATGCCCTCTTTATTGCAAAAAATATATTGCATTATTAAGCAGTTGTACTAAAAATGGGAAAGTGACGGACTCTGAGGTATAATTGTGGCCTCTCCATCCTTCAGGCATTAGGGGGCGGACTTCTTCAACATGTGCCGATTTTAACACTTTGTACTGCGCATCTGTGCTAACGGTTAACGCATTCAAAGAGCTGATCTGACGTAACAGTGCTGTCTTGTCCACTTATGCTATACTTCTTAATAAGATATGCCTGTATTTCGTGTTCAAATGTCCATGTTTGTCTTTTCGTACTGCACCCTCCGGTGATCGCTACGTTCACACAATCACACTTGGCGACTAAAAAGTATCCTTAGAGGCTTTTATTTGGAAGTCCTATGTTCATATTTCTTTCACTATATGCATACGTCTTTGAACTAGCGGGGGATTCCTTCCATCCATTTGGAACCTTTATCACTGACCGTTAGACAGTCTGTGGTCATACGTTTTTCCGATGTTTCGCCCTTTGGTGTCTCGGCTGCTTTTTTTCAGTAGCGGTCCCAGGATGGCATATTGTCAATGTTTATGATTTGTATTCCGGATGGCAAATAACTTTAATGTATGCTCTCCGGTTATTTCTTTAGCTTTAATTCTAATTAGGAACACTATGCTCATTCCGATATCTGGCGTACAAATGCTAAAGTAGAATGCGGGAGTCGGTCATTCCTGGATGACTGCCTGGATAATTCCAGTATAGCCGTACTGAATCCTGATTGTGGACGTCCAGATGCCACTCAAAATAAAATCTCTTCCGTCTGGCCAGGGGCGGGCTTGCACGACTCCCCAAACACCTTATCTTACGTCATTCCGTCTGATCCCCTCCAGGCCGGCAAAACGCTACTTAGCCAGGGTATTCCTACAACTTTTGACCCAGGTGCTTTATTTCAAGAAAAGACAATGGTGGATCTTGATAATATTCCAACGTTTCCGACCGAGGTCAACCGTCCTACTGACAGCCAGCCGGTCCATGAATGCCCTGTCTGTAGTAGTTCCTTTTCGAGCGAACCCAATCTCTTGGTTCACAAGCTTGTGGAGCACACAGAATCGTATTTTCCCGATATGTCATCATTCATCTGTCCATTTTGCCAAAAGAAATATAACAGGGTTGCTGCATTTAGATGCCATCTCCAATTCCACAAGACGGAAGAGATCTCATGTCCAAAGTGTTCCAGGTGCTTTAGTTCCGATGAACTATTGTCGACTCACTTACTCACTCACAATACAACTTCATGTATAAAGGACTTGGATGGTGCGGACATAATTCCTCTGCGTTCTCTGTGCTGCCGGTTATGCAATACAGCAGTTTCATCAGTTGGTGACCTTCGGAAGCATTACCGCCTCTCTCACCCTGATAGCCTGAAAAAGACCACAGTTAAGAGTAAGCCGAAGGCAACTGCGCCGCCAACCAGGATGTCTCCCTCTGCTGATATGACAGTTTCCACTGAACGCGCCTGCAGGAAGAGCAAGCTAACGGCCGTTGAGTTTTTCAAGAAAGTAACAAATCAACCACGAAAGAAGAAAGGCGAAGATGGGGAACTTAGTAGTGTCCTGACAAACCTTCCTTCCATCACCGATTTGTGTGACGCAGATAAATACATTCAGAAAGTGCCAAAAAGCCGGAAGAGATGTGTTTTTGTTTGTTTGATATGCAACAAAAAAGGATCTTCATTTTACGCCGTGAAGCGACATCTGTCTACGCACACCGGCTCGAAACCGTACTCCTGCCCTATTTGCTCAAAATCATTCACACAGATGTCTTCGGTGAAGACACATATGGTTGTTCACAATGATTCTGGACGATTTCGCTGTGAATATTGTTCTAAAATATTTAATTATCAGCACAATTTAACCGTACACCTGTGGAGACATCACAAGAATATCTATAACCAATGCAAGTCGCAGAATACTGGCGTAACTATTAAGGAGAGTCCAGAAGGTTTGAATGTGTTTGACGTGAAGCGGGCAAACCTCTCTGTATTCTCAGCGATAGCCGTCCTTCTGTCTGTCCTCTCCTCCAGCCTCCATGGATTTGATCTGCCCCTCCACTGTCGCTTCTGCTCTTTCTCCTTCAGACACAAATCGACACTCCTGTTACACCAGCGTCTTCACTTAACTAACTCTAGTTCGTTTCCGCCTGTCCTTCATCCAAATCTCAGGAATCGTTTCTACAAGGGCCTACATCGGAGCAGAAGAGGACCTACCATTCATTCAAAAACGAAAACATTATGTACCTCGTCTTCTGCGCTTTTTGAAAATCTCAGGACTCATCCTCGACTTTTTCAGTTGCTTGAATCCACTCGGCAGAAACGTCCACACGTCAGCCTGTGCAATAAAATAACCCATGCTGTAAACCTGTGCATCTTTCAGAAACGTCTAGCCAGGCTCCACTTTTCTCTACCTCACCTCGGATATTCATCGCCCCATCATGGTTCTCAACAAATGGAACGTTTTTATTTGCGCCGGCAACTATTAAAAGAATTAATCCGGCGAGCAAGTCCATTTACTCGCGTTTGTGCTTTGTGTTGTCAGGCTTTACCAAGTAGCCGTATTGCTTTGTGCCACTTCGTGAGCCACTTTCTTTCCCAGAATTGCATATGTCCTCTTTGTAACCAGAAGTTTCACTGCGTTTCAGTTTGCATTCTTCATCTTCGAATAATTCACAATCGCCGAAAATTATATCCATTTTTTGAGTGCAGTGGAACTTTGCCCGAGTTCCTTAGGGAGAAATTGGTCTCCCCCACACCCATGAAACTTCGCAGGACCCAAAATCATAAAGACCCACAAAATGGATCTCCCAGCAAAATATTCTATGAAAATGGTCCTTCCCAATCACAGGAGATTCCAGACGTTTGTCAGATGGACCAGTTTGCAACTTCAGAAAGTGCCGTGCCGAAAAGCTCTTTCTCAACATACCCTCAAGACGCATCACACTACCTTGAGGCTGGCCCTGCGAACTCTTGTCCTAAAACAACGAATGCGCCTGAGTTGCCGCCTGTAGACGAACTTCTACAGAGCACTCAATCGTTAGGTGATTTCAACGGAACCGAGCCTGTTCTAGAGGAGGAGACAACATGGCTTGGCCCTGCCATTGCGACATCGACTACTCAACCACATCTTACTCAACCAGCTTTTGTTATCCTACCATCTGACTCGTCTATCACAGGCTTTGTTCAAACGGATCCAAACTTACTTGTTACGGATGAACCTGCGGGCTTAGCACCTGACCTAACTGGAGGCTCAGTTCCCGTCGTGAATCATGTCGCCCAATCCTCTGCGCCATTCATATTTGGTCAGACTGTGTATGAACTACAGTCCGGAGATATTTTCGTCCTTCCCCAGGGAACAACTCTTGGCCAGATGGAGGATTACAGTCCCCGTATCTTCTGCGGAGAAGCAGTTGGGTACGTTGATGCCCAAAATCTACCCCAGCTTCAAGTCTTTGAGTCAGATCTCTCCAATCTCGATTTACGTGGTGACTATGAGACCATCGATTCAGTTAATTTTGGCCCACCAGGCGGAGAGCAGCTGGCGCGTTTTGATCCTGTCTGTGAAGCTGACATTTTGAATGGTGCCGGTTCATCAAACTTTGCGCAGACTGAACCTGCACCTGACGAGCAGACACAGGTGCAGTCCTTTGTGCAAGAAAACACCATGCTTTCCTTGCCCACTGTTGTGCCTACTGGACCTATAATGACTACTCTGTCTCAGAAGGATGCGCTTAATTTGTCTCAATCAGTGCCCACCTACCATGTAATGCAACAGGACATCCCTCTTCCCACCGAACTTCCGAGCGCTGCATTTTTCGGCTGCCTTCAATGTTCTTCACAATTTTTCTCTGCCTCAGAGCTGCAAATACACGCCAGCACCCATTCAATTGCTACTAACGTCGCTGTCTGCACAGTCTGTTACGCGGCCCAGCCGCGACCCCCGAAAGACGGCTTTTGTTCCGTCTGTGGACAAAACGGGTTTCAGGAAGCACAGAACAACTACACTCTTTTCAACTCCGCCGCTGACGGATGTCGGTTCTACTGCGCCCACTGTAGTCAGACATTTCTAGATATTGCCTCGCTGGACCTGCATATTGCCCACCTCTCGAGCGACGAACCGGGAAAAGTCCTCACACAGGCCTGCATGCAGGTTGAGGCAGGTCGTAACGAAGACACTACTTTAATCGACCAACCGTCCCTACTTCCGTCACCTCATCCCCACCTGCAGCAACAGCAGGCTTCCGAAATGGCCGACGCGCCAACTAACAAACCTAGAGGTAGCGACCGCACAAAGAACGTCCTGCAGCTATCAGAGGAGCAGATCCAGAAGTTAATGCAGTTGGAACCCACTCGCTCAAATTCCCTCTCCGAGCGTTTTCTTATTGAGGTGAGCTCTGCACTATATATACAATACGTGACCTCACTGATCAAAAAGCCATCGATTAATCGGGAGCTAATTCAATTGCATCAACGGAAACACTAAACTAATAATAAACGACGTCTATTTAAACGAAAACGCAAAATAAATACTTGAAGTGGCGTTTCGTCTGTTAGAGATAACTATTCCCTGAAAAAGGCAGGACTGCCGAAAACACGAAAATGCGTGTAAAATCAGTAAAGTTTTAGAGGTACTTGCAGAATGTTCATGCAACCAACTAACTAGCTGTAACATAATTAGCACAATAACGCTTAAAATGTCAGCGTTACATGTATTTGAATTAAATATCGTCCATCGATTAATGATTAGTGGAGCATGACACATATTTAAGTGTGCAATGTATAATTATAGGTTCTAAAGCTGTTTAAAGTGTGTCTGCTGATCATGTTACAGGACTTGCTCGTCCCGTTGTGTCTTGGTGCCGGATCTAGAGTCCTCGACGACAAGAGAGACTGGAATAGTCATTTCTGACTTAAACTTTGTATTTGATGCAGCTGTAGCCCATATCTAATCAAACCAGCCTCCACAGTGTCACAGATTGTACCACTACGCGTGGCGATCCACGACAGCGGATCTGGATAGCTCAATCCATTACCTTTTCCAACGATGGAGACCGAATATCAAGGGCCCAAGAAGCACGCCCACGTCTTGACGAACTGTGTCGAGAAACGCTGAGGTCGTGAGGCGGACGGTGATTAACGTGCCAAACCACCTCAGTCGTATTTCTTGGATGGCCTGAGATATCCTCGTGATGCTGTCACAGCGATTGCGGACTGTGTCATTTTAGATGAAGTTGGTTTACTTCACTCGAAGGACGGTTTTCAAGCAGAGGCAGTTAGCTATCTCCAGTTTTAGCTTATTTTCCGCGCGCATAACCGAGCATTGACAACCGTTGAGGAAGACTTAACAGACTTATGCACAGTACACGAGCACCTTCATGGCAATGTAAATGTCGCGCCAAGTCCGTAGACGCTTTCTAACGTTTCAAAATATCCCACAGGCAGCGTCGATTCGGGAAACATTGTCGTCCCTACTGTGTCCCTACGCTAGGTATTTCATATTGTCTACTTCAACTTGACAGCCATGAATCCCGTGAGAGGCCTTCCTCTGGTTGGGATCGCAGATTGGAAGCACTTTGGTCTTCTCAGCGTTTACGGATAAACCGACCGAAGTGGCCACTCCAATCACCCGTAACACCACAGACTGAGGCCAGCATGGCGATTGATCAGACTCAACACCGTCAAAGCCACGTAGGACCCATCCGAGAGTCTAGTCAATGACGTAGCTGAACAGAGTGGACGAACGCGAGAGTGGATATCGAACGATTGGGAGAGATCGTTATGGACCAGAACTCGCGTAGTAGTGAGGCAACAGTTGGTCTTGATAATGGCGACGATTTTTACCGGTATTCCATCCAGTTCCATCATCCGCTTCAGGGATACGCGATGGACATATTCGAACACAGCGGCGAAAGCAACAAGACGGAGGGCCGTCGATTGTTGGTAGCTATGACGGAATTCTAGACTGGGCTTCAGTGTGAATATCTGGTCCGCACGTCTACGCCCAGCTCGGAATCCAACTTGGTTGGTGTTAGGACGGCCCTAAACGGGACGCACCATTCTCGTCGTCTGACTGTTATGCGCGATGTGGAACCGTCAAAGATCGGGTCCGCCCTGCCTACCAAGCCCGCTCCTGATTCATAAATCAACTCGCCGTCGGATTATGCGCGGCCACCAGGTGCCGTGAACGCGCAAGGGTCTGCCCATGCGGGCGCTCAGAGATCAGCCAATAGATACATGACAAGACCCTTAAGTACGTCGTCATGGGCAGAAGGGTTGAGAGTTGGTGTACACACAGCGATTGTCACAGTAAGGCCGTTCCCTACCATTCTGCCTGTCTTCTCTTCCACGCAGCAATTGGGGGAATATAACAGTTCGGCCGCGTCCCATAGTAACTCACAGCCCGGGAATTGCCTAAGAAGAACAGTAGCGAAGGCCTTCACAGAGACGTGAGTAAGGTTTATGTCGCGGTGGTCCTCGTACCTTGTCTTATCTCTCTTTCTGCAGACAGGTACAAGGATGACTAAGCCCCAGCCATCAGGGACGCCATCTCTCCGAGCTTGCTCAATCACCTCATAGTGCCAAGGTACCAGAGTGTCGACATAAGACTTGTAGTTTTCTGCAAGAATACCGTCCTCTTCGGGCGCCTTGTTGTTGCGCAGCATTTTCACTACGTCGGCAACTTCTTCCTCAGAAGATGGTCGCACGACACTGCATAGACAGGAGGGAAATAAGACCTCGCTAGAGGGACGCGAGGGTGTGATAGGTTGGTCATCGAAGTAGAGAAGATCCTCGGAGCGATCATGCTATCGTTCGACCTTGCTTGAGTTGTGAGCAGTGAGGCCGCCATTCATATGGCGAACAGAGCCACTCAGTGCAGCGACCTTACTACGAACTTGATGGATAATTTGGTAGAGTATTCGAGTGTTCCCCATAGAAGTCACTACTTCAGCCCAATATCTCTTCAGGTCATCCCTAGTCAACTTTACCGTCTTTTTCCGGAGTTGGCGGAAGGGGTCCTTGTTGTGAGATCTGACCTGAGCCGTTCGAGCATACACTTGCAAGGTTCTCCCGCTGAATCATTCATTGCAGCGTCGCCGAATGTATCCCAAAGTTTCATTACCTGCCCTATAGACTGATAATTTTAATTATGACCACCGGATACTGCCTCCTCTGTTGGCTCGGGTCGTAAAGTAATACCGGAGTTCCCTGCTTAGGGGGTCGGCAGTGCTGGGTTGTCGAATTTTGGCGACATTAAGGCGTCCCTCATGGGACACTTTCGGTGCAGATAAGAGATAAACTTTCAAAGTTTGCGAACTAGAGCAGGATCCTACCCATGGACGTTATCTATTTCGGCCCAACGCATGGATTCGTTACCGGGAATCCAGCTGCTGATCCTTAGTCAGACTGGCCGTATGATCTCGTTTGAGTATCAGGTTAGCAGATGTTTGTGACGATGCTGGGAGCACGGTATTCGAGGGTCAAGCCTAAAGTGACCGATAATGTGACTACTTAAAGAGTCACTGAGTCCATTCCAGCCCCTGGCAAAATTCGGCAGATCACGGCGGTGGAGTCCTTCGACCTACTTTTGCAGCTGAGGGTCAAAAGCCTCTTTATTGCACTGTGCGGCAGCTGATTTTGGTGCGTACACTGATGCGATAGAGATGCCCTTAAGGGCTTTAGTCGCGCGCAAGCCGTCTGGTCATTGACTGGTTCTCGTGCAAGTTGTGCATACTTCTCCATATCGTGTCTTCCAGAAGATTCGCGTGGGCCGCTGTCGTACAAGGTAAAGTGGAAGTTGACTCCGAGGATCTTTATTTCCCGAGCGCCTAGGTCGGGGTTTCGGCCTTCAGACAGACAACAGACATCCACGTTGCACTGATGAAGACTGCGCGCCAGAATACGAGGGTCCAGGAGCGTTCACGCCCTTCAAAATTCAGTACAAAAGCCGTTTCTGATCGAGTAGTCCAACTCGCATGCTTTTCGTTAATTGGCCGTCGCAGGCCGGCTTACCCAAACCCAGTTTTACAGCGCTTGAGTCTGGATCCCGGGTTCTTTGGTCATCAGGCGTTATTAAGTCCAACGCTCCACCAATTTGGCCGTAGGCTTGTTATCTTGTCGGTTGCGATTGGGAATATTAACCACCGACACTACTGCTAACACTTACCGCTACTACCAACACCTGTTAATATCAACTATCTAGTTAGAGGACATGCTCAGCCCGTTGTGCTTTGGGGTTCGATCCCCTTCTACCTATACTGCTAGTCGCTGTGTGGCTGCCTGCGGGACACAAGATCGGACCCCAACGCACCACGAGACGATCACGTCCCCTAACCCGATGCGTGAACGTGTGGGGGCTAGGCGGTGTGAGTGTGTGCCGCATGTGAGCTACAATCGTCAGGCCAGATGCCAAGTTGAAGGGAGAAGACGGAAATCACCAGAATGAGGCGTTGATTGTGCACAGAACCCGGAGTTGCCCTCTCAGGCGGCAGTGGCCACTGGCGAAGCCAGGGCTGCGTCCAGTCATGCCTGAGAGTCCCTGAGATAGTGGTGGCGGCCGCTTTTGTAGGCTCGTGGCCCAAGCTCAAGTGGTCTCCAATCGGTGTGTGTTGCATTTGCCGAGGGGTGATGTCCCAGTGACTTGTTTTGCTGGTTGCAGGGGTGGCGCATGGGCAGTCGCTACGCCGTGTGGACGCAACTGTGTCCGAGCTGAAGTGGGTCGAGGAGTGGTGTCTCAGGGGCATAGATTGTGGTTTTAGGGGACAGGGTGGAGATGCGTTCAAGCAGCCTCATGCGCAGCTGCAGCTGTGCGGACACAGGTATGCCGAGCTGTCAGTCGTGTGACTTCAGGTCAGCTCGTCTGGGACGTCTCGCTGCAAGGGGTGAGTGACCTTGAGACAGCGAGGTCTTGAACAATGACACCCTACCGGTCATGATGGCTGCCCCCTACAAACGCACTTCCAGCATAGTATTCCTAATCGCTGCACAGACATCCCCTCCATAAAATGTAGTGTTCGCCAGGTTGTTTTGGGCGCCCGGCTGAAATTGCCTATTTCTCTTTATTTTTAATCGTCTTATGCATCGACGTCGAAACCGAATGCGTACTCATTCTAAGGACATAGTCTGAATAACAAACTCTAGCTTACGGTATAACTTTGGTTATCAGAGCAGTGACTTTTTGACCGATTGGATGCGTGGCACGCGTAGACATGGATTCGGTCAGTATGTCCACACTCAGATCAGGTCTTCTTTATCCCGTCTTGTTACCGCAACATTGTTGAGAGAGTGAGCTGAGTGCAGCAAAAGTTGCCGCTGCGTCCTATCCGCGACAGTGCTGATCCTCATTGCTTGCGATGGATGTTACGTCGTACTGAGTGAAGAAAGGCTCATGGCTGTTTCATTTTATCTTAATGTCCCAATGTACATCCGTCAAATGGAGACTTCTGCTAGGCTTACCCCCTGTCAGGCCCCGTATTGTGGGCTATCCTAATCAACAAATGTGGAGGGCAGGCATGCCGCTCATCGTCCTCATGGAAAGTTATTTGCAAATTTGACTTCCCGAACTTTCAGAACTTTGGGGTGGCTACGCCTGATTACAAATCTCACGTTAATTTCTTCGTGAGCACCTAATTACGGAACCACTTCCTGTTTAAGGCACTGGCTCTCTGTTTGCTGGACGTAGGAGATGTAGATTCTATTCTTCGTCGATAGGCGAACATTTTCCGCATCTGATGGACATATTCAGTGCATCCTCATGGGTGACGCCTTCAAGGAAATGAAGCAGTCGCTTTATTGCCATCTGTTACTCTGCTTGCCCATTTAAATCCTAAAGATCCCTTCGCATTTTAATGGTTTATATCGTGTCCTTTAAACACGACGGTAATTCTGACCTACGCTCGCGGAACCCTGTGAAGACAAAATTCATTAATAGTTGAATTTGTCTTTTGACACGCGGTACGTGCTCTGGACCAGCACAGAGGCTAGATCGGAGTCCGGCAGGCATTATCGGGCATGCACACCTATAACAAATGCCAACATTGGGGGTGTGGCGGCACACTAGGGCGCAGCCGCACCCCGTACCGATCGAGATCCGAGTCACACCCCTATTTTTGTTGTAGAAAATCCTGGTCAGTGTATGTTGTGGACCTTGTGGTGTGTGGGACGCCTATGTACGGCTTTACGTCGTGCCAGCCACCTGCGTCCTCTCGCGCCTCTGGTTTTCCAGCCCGTCGTGACACCGGATTTAGGTAGGGGAGGAGGAGTAGAGAGTGGTAGATGCGGCGCAACTCACCGTCGCTGATCTCACCCTGCCGTGGAGCACACGCTGGACATCGTTGGCAGCGACCGTCGAATTGTGGTCTCGACCTCCCGCCTAACCATCTAGATATTTTTTTTCACATGTGGTCCTCGAAATACACACTCGTCCAGCTTATAGTCATAGTGTCCGGTCTAGTTTTCTCAACCGCCTAGGTTGCTCTTATTTTTACCTGCTACCCTGTTTTTCTGTTGTCATTACAGGCTGCCAACCGACGTTTCACTGCCAGCTACCCAAAGCCGAGCCCTATACAAACGGCAACTTCTAGAGGTAGCAATGCAGGCGAGAAGGACAAGCGTTCTGTTGTGTGTACCCTCTGTTCTCATCACTTTCGGCGGTCCTCTGACCTGCGTCGCCACATGTTCCTGCATTCTGGTGTTCGTCCCTATGGTTGCGACTTTTGTAGCCGACGTTTCATCATCCAGGGCCGCATGCTGCAGCATATGATCAAGGCCCACGGAGAGGAGGGTAGCGCCCGGGCTGCCCAGTACTCGTTTTCAAGGCGTCGTTATCTCCAGAGGTTGGCTCGACTGCAACGGACCTTCACAACGCCTCAGAAATTTACCTGTCATGTCTGTGGCGCCATCTGTCGCACTCTGACAGGCCTGCGAGGCCACGTGCGTGCCCACACAAACACTAACATATACGCCTGTCCCCACTGCAACCGCTCCTTTCGCTCCTCGATGCAGCGAAAGCGGCACCTTCGAGTTTGCTCCTCCAGCAGAACTGCGAGCCATCCTACTGAGGCAGTCTTAGTGCCGCCCCAGCAACAAGTTCTGCCAGTTCTAGAACAGGACCCCTCCGGTATGGGTAACTCTCAACTTGCAGTGGACGTCACCGCAAACCTTGTGGATCTTGACCAGCAACCTGTCTACCCGGAGTGCGAATCACACTTTGATTTGGCAAACTACTTTCTGGAAGTCAATGAATCGGAGAGCAAAGTCAAGCCGGCTTCCTGGCTCTCGCTAGCTGAACGCGTGGGTGAGAAGATGGATGCAGGCCAGGCATATCGGCCGGTGGGCTTCACGGATCTCCTTATGACGGATTCTCCTGACCCGCAGGGCTTTGAGTGCATAGATCTGAATGAGGCTGTTGCGGAGACTGCCAGCCATTCACGGACACAAGTAGAAAGCAGTGCCAACACCCCACCTGCTAGACGTCGACAAAGACTACCTTACGTCCCTCACAACGACGGTGACCGCACGAGGGAGGCTGCAGGAACGTGTGATCAGTCGCGAGATAGCTTGGATGCACTCTGTGTCCCTTGGTGGCAGTGCAAACAGTGTAAGGAGTCCTTCTCTTCGGGTCGCCTCTTCTTGTGTCACCCCTGTGTCTGTGGCAAGCAGGATATCTTTCCGCGTCTACGCACACTGCAGCGGGCGACTGCACTGCCCTGGCGCGGCAACAGCAGCAGCAGCGACGACAGATCGGTTCAGTGTGTTGACTGTGCAAAGACCTTCCCTACGCGCGCTGAACTGCGGCGCCATGCTCGGACGCATAGCCAGGAGAGACCCTTCGTCTGCGCCACCTGTGGTGCCACCTTCAGCCAGGCCTGTTCACTGGACAGGCATGAGAGGACGCATAACAAGGAGGATGGTCGGATCTATCGCTGTCGTTTCTGTTCATCAAGGTTTGTACAAAAGTGCAATATGTTTCGGCACATGGCCAAAGAACATGGCTTCACAAGATTGGCGTCAGCAAAGAAGAAGACCTCGAAGAAGTGAGACGTGGGGGAGCTCGAGATCAAGCCCGTATTTCCGTTTGTGTTTCCACTTTCCTGCTCCCCTCTTTTGTAAATATGTATATAAATGTATATTTATGCATTTTTACCTTCCTCTCATGGTGTGCATCGTCTTGCCCGACTATTAGTTGGATGACATACGGCGTTCACGAATCTCTTTATTCGTCTCCAGTGGACTCCCAGCTTAACTGTTAGGCATCGCCTGCACTGTCATTCGTTTGTCTTTTTTTACCAGAATGATCCGGCTAGTAAGTTTTAGCGCCTAGATGTGTCTGCGCCTGCTTCCAGCCCAGTCGTCTACCCTCGGCGGTTTTCGGAAAGTGTATCATCCTACTATATTTTGTTAGTAGCCAGTATAGTGCAGCTTTATAACGTTAGTTTGCTGTTTTATCACCGAAGACCTACGATGAAAGTCCCTCACCATCGTGCTCGATTATCACGCATTTCAGTTTATACCCTGATAACGCCATGTATCACCCTTCCTAACATGGCCGATGGTTCTTTGCGAGAGTGCACACGAGACTGGGCTGCGCACTTTCAATATGTGCAAGGGATAACACACGACTTAGACACGATAGATGCCTGCCACGGGGCCTGACAAAAGCTGTCCTGCCAGACCGAGAAATTTTCTCATCGCTTTCGTTCAGCTCGGACTAAGCAACAGCGGGGATATCATACGGGTAAGATATTTACGGAGTATAAGCCATTCATTTGGCGATTCTCGCTTCGGTTTAGTGGATGTTCATGGGGGAGGGGGGTGGGGCTCGCATGAACTACAACCGACGAAGATAGCTTCCTTTAGAGGCACGTAAGTGTGACGGTCATCGCTCTATCCTAATTACAGGAAGTAGATGGCTGTTGTAACTTCGCCTTGAAATTCTGTGGTCAATGCAGTCTTAGGCGGTTGCACGGTAGAAGCGCTACCGCCAAGGATAAGAGAGAAAGGGATGACATTTCCAGTTTTTACTGTCACTTGGTAACCGTATCGGACCAACTCCGGGCAGGATCCAAAACCAAAGCAGCACGGATTCAATCTCCGGGTGCTTGTCCGGGGTTCGGGCACGATATACACTTAGCGGTAGATAAGTCAGAAATAGTTATCACGGTTTTCGCAGTCCTATCCGATAACACTTCGAATAGAACTTGCCTCCAGCAAGGTTCGCGCTCTGTCTGTTTAAAACTTAGATAGTTTCACTTTTAGAGCTAGTCCCTTGCAAACCTTTCAGAGCATTACGACCAGTTTGTCGCCGCAGGAAGTCGATCGATGTTTAGTAACTTTTCCCAATGGTAATTCATTGAAAGTTCGGTTCTGCGTACTATTGATCTGGTCCATTTATGTCGTGAATTTAACCGGATTCACTGAGCTCGATGGCCCATCGCCATGTCAATGCAAGTATGCACTCGCCCCTTGTTGAATACTCGTGTACGACCAAGAAAAAAAGTGAACGAGATACTTACGACGTCGACAAGCGATCAGGAAAACATGCCGAACTCAGTCATTCATACTCCGATTTTTGGCTTTTGTGAGACTGGGTCGATGCCCGAAAAGTGTCGCTTAGGCGGTGCTGGCGACGTGCGCTGACTGCACAATGTAGTGACAGTAGCTTTCTAAGTGGCTGTTGCATTCACGCGCGCACCTATGCTGAATCCTGAAAACGAATGACATACTTAGGGACCTAAGTTCAACATACCAGCGGTTCATGTGACCATTTTGAGCACACGCCTACTTGAGGTTCTAGACCAACTGGTTGAAGTCTGTTTCCCATACTTGTATGGCCCAGCGCTAAAGGCCGTCTCGCAAAAGGTCGCCAATTGACGGTGTAATTATGTAATACTAAACACACAGGATGGAGCCGAGATGGCTCCTTAGTGTGGTGATTGGGGAAACTTCTGGGAAGAGCATGAGGTAGGGAACACTCAAGTCTTCTCCACCGATAGTTCAACCGTCGTTTCCGGCGATGTCCACCGTATGCTCCACAGCGGAGTGGAAGCAGGGACCGTGACTTGCGCGTGGTCTCTTCTATAGCGATAGTGGGCTTGTGCAGCATCTACCGTCCTGTCTTCTCTCCAAACTGGGCCCGGCGTTGTGACAAAGTGAAAGAGACTGGAGTGGAGAGAGGACGCGGTGGCTGGCACGGCGAAGGCCCGCACCTGGGCGTACCGGTACACCCCTGGTCCACAGCGTGCAACCGACCAGAATTTTACACAAAAGTAGGCTGCGGCTCGAATCCCAACTGGCGTAGCGTGGACCTATACGTGGGTGTGCTGTCACATCCCCAATGTCGGCAGCTGTCAGAGGTGCGCATCCTCGATAACGCCTGTCAGACCGTGGTCTAGCCCCTGTTTCGGTCCAACGCATCTGCCTGCACCTCTTGACATTTAACAGGGTGATGACCGCTTCTACCCCAGATTTCAACTGTAGCTTGCGCATGAATTGGATCCTAACGAGGAAGACGCACACAGCTTTCATTGTACTATCTCTTCCCCCACACCTCTGTGTTCTGGTGATGAGACTGGAGAGGGCTTGAGTTAAGTCTGTTGATTCCTCCACCATAACCGGACCAGGTCCTACATACAATGCTGCCGACCTTGAAAAAAGCACTCCAATCACGGTCATTTGATTTAGTCCCGCTGTCGGGTGTTCACACTACGCTCAGAACAGTTCAATTGAGCCATACATGGGGGTATTGGTTAGGCAGTATGCACTCCTTAACCACCACAATTACCATGCCATGTGCCGATTATCAGAAAACGAAAAGCACTGGAATCCCGGACTCTTTCTGTTCAGGAGCCGAAACTGCTAAGAGGGAGGGAGGGAGCGAGTTGTCGGCTGCTATGGGTTTGTGGATTCAAGTTCAGGCGTCTCGTATGCAGGTATTGTGGCGCATTTCATGACCCACCAAGGGCTGCGGTTGTGTGGACGCGCGTGCATGTCCTCTCTTCAATCGGCCAGAGTGTACGGTCGGAACGCTTGGGGACGTTCACAGCTAAAGTGAATAAACTTGACCTAACAAAGACTATGGGAGGCGCAGCTCTGGCGGTCGACAACAAGAGCTCGAATCCAGGTGGGGTTGGAGTGGAGTGACCACCCTGTTCAGATAGACCTTTGGCGAGCTCGTCAGTCCGCGAAAGTGACTACTTATCGGACGCGCCACAAACCACTGACGTGAAGGAACATGTCTGAATAAGAGACGCAGTATACGTCTGCAGGTGAAATTCTCAGTGATCCAATTACTCAGCGGGGACGTTAGCCCCTACTTTACTCCGCGGGTTTCCGAAACCAATGTTGATCGGAGACTAGGACTTTGAACTTCCTCCGTACAAATACTTTTAGTAGCGTTCACCATAACTTTTCAGCCGGTCTCACGTTACAGATTCAGCATATCACGAATGATCGACTTGCGTTGCAGTTGACCGGCGGCAGACTGTCTAGCGATGCTGAGCTACTTAAAACGCCAGCCCTGCAGGTTGCAGGACAGGAGATACACATCAGGTCGGGTCTCGCCGCGTCCACCCACATTTTCAGTTGGTCACCTCGACGCCGTCCGCAGCCGATGTCACGTTCAGACAAACTGACAGCCAGTATGATTTAATTGTCAGATAAGATCGACACTAGATCAAATCGCCTCAGTCAGCACGCGAGGGGGGGTGGGACATAGTTGACCGGCTCCACCTGTGAACGAATATGTGGTCACTTGATCTATCGACTCAATGCCTCCATTCGAGTGATAGCCCCGGCCAATGCACCTCATCCGCACGGCGGATTATTTTGACGGGCGCCGCTTACACTCACACTTTGGTCCTCAGACCGAACTCACGCCGAATCCAGTGGCTTTGACAAGATCGAAGGAGGGCGGCGCATAACTGCTCGATCCGATGGGCTATTTTAACCCTAGCGTACTCATTCGGTATCTAAGGAACCAGAAGCTGTCCACCCCTTTGTTTTGGAAGAAGTAGTTCGTCTGCCCACTTCTGCTGCCTTTGCGCCTTTCTAGAACAGTTCGCAATAGTCCTACAAAGGAGTTCGCGAGCCCCACCTCATCAATATGTTCAGGGTGTGTAATACTGGGGTGGTCCGCCAGTACATAATTATAATCCGATCTAACGCACAGTGAAACAGAGTTGCAGAGAGAACGTAGCTCTGATGAATGCCGGTGATGACATCCACCAAGTCACTCTCCTCACCATTCAAAGGCTGACTGATTTCGGTGGCGTGTGAGCACGCGGCATGGCAGTGGGCTTTTGGTAGCGGTGTCGAAATTCGAGGGTTTTACGAAGTAAACATGATGGTGAACGTTCACATCTCCCGTCGAAAATCGCCCAGATTCTTGTTGGCCCGCTGGTTTACAAGTGGAATTAACTGAGGAGGACGACTGCGGGGAATTGCAGTAGTGTCAACAGACCTGAGCCACGTTAGTTCTTATCCAGTCACCTGACTCTCTTGGAGATCGACGATGCCCCAGTTCCTGGACACGGTCTCCGCTTCCCACTGTCGAACTGGAAGGTCGCGTAACCGACCGCACAATGGCACGGAAGAGCCCCGGTATATTGCCGCTGCACGACAGGCTTGTTGCGTCTAGGCGGAGTGAGTCTGTTCAGGACGCTACAATCATAAGGAGAAGACAGTCGTCACCAAAATGATGGGTATATTGTGCACAGAACCCTGAGTTGTCCTCTTAGGCGGCAGTAGCCACTAACGAAACCAGGGCTAGTTCTGACTGCGTCCAGTCATGCCCGGTGGTCCGTGAGACAGTGATGGCAGCTGCCATTGTAGGTTTGTGGTCCAGTCTGAAGTGGTGTCCCATTGGTGGGTTTTTTGTTTGTCGAGTGGTGGTGTTCGGGTGGCTTGTGTTGCGTTCGCAGGGATCGGCGTGTTCAAGTGATGCATGGGCAACCGCAACTCTGTGGTCACATGTGCGTCCGAGTCGAAGTCGGCCGAGTGGCTACCAGTCAGCGTTTCTGGGACCGCTCCATGCGAGAATG